TATGTCCTTCCCAGGGTCTCAAACTATAGTAGTTTCGGAGCCTATTCGATACAAACAAACAAAACACATTTTTTTCCTCTTTATAATATTAGGATAGATTATATGTACTTCGTACATTTGTATAAATATATGTACACAATATTATCTATGTTTGAGTTGGCAATCGAGCATTGTAAGTTGATTTACAGATATCCTTTCTAGATCGATCGTACTAAACACATGAAGTAATCTAAGCAAGTTTCGCAAGAGATAAGCTAAGCAAGAACTCTATTGAAAGTTGTGACTAAACATTTATTTATACAAATATACAAATAGAAACTCGTAAGTTTATATAATATAATTATTTTTTACATTTTTTATATACTCGTTCATTAGTATACTCGTATTAGTATAATAGTTGACCCGGATAACCAGCTATTACCATACCAAATTTCTTCAAAATCCCTCCAGTGATTTTTCTGTGATGCGGTCACAGACAGACAGACACACACAATTTCTTAAAACTATAGGTTCGGCCTCTGTTAGCGATAATAATGTGTATTTCAATAAGATTTTCCAAAAAATATTAAAGCACAGATACTGCTTAATTAAATTTTAATGTATCTAATATCTATAGATGTAACAAATTTATAAAGCCAAAAAGATTCTTTTTTGACAATTTAAACACGGGCGGGGCCGCGGGTAATTTAGTAGTAATTCTAATAAAATCATAGAAAGGTCGAATTTGTACATTCAATTTTTTGGAATTAAAACTACGTATTTTAAAGACACATGGCGACATCTATTGACAAATATCTAAATAATTCAAAAATTAATTTCATTAAATAAAACTATTTTTAATAGTTTTTGACATATTTAGTAAGTTAACTTGCTAAAATCTATATAGTATCATCGTTTTTTAATCTAACCAGTTTTTGTATTTTTTCTCAGAAATGAGATATTTTTCTGCGGTAAAAAGTATCCTATACGTTGACCCGGATAATCAGCTATGCCCATACCAAATTTTTTCAAAATCCGTCTAGTAGTTTTTCTCTGATGCGGTAACAGACAGACAGAGAGACAGACAAAAATTCTAAAAACTATAGATTCGGCCTCTGTACCGATAATAAAGTCTATTTCAATAAGATTTTCTAAAAAATATTTAATGTACAGATTTGACTTAGTTAGAATTTTATTATATATATAGATTTTATTAAAGGGTTATGAAAAGTACATCTATAGTATTAAATAAATAAATATATATAATTAATGAAATAAATAAATAGAATTAATGAAAATCTATTAATTTTAACGAACATTATATTCATTTTATAGGTGCTTGATATTGAATAAAATTTTCGTTTATATCGGGGGGCACGGAAGTGCCCCCGCCAATTCGGAGCAAGAAAGGGCACGGCAGTACCATCCTTTTCTCGAAGCGATTCAGAGCATTTTCCACCCCCCCCCCCCCCCATAACTTCGTTATGGATAAAGCTAGAAACCTGAATTTTGAGTGACTAAGAGGACATAATATAACTAGGTATATTTCCAAATTACATTCAATTTGGATTATTTATTCATCAATTGAAATGGTTGAAATCAATTGAATTGGTTAATTGAATCAAGTATTTATAGTATAGAAATGTAATAAATATAGATTGCACTGTGAAAGAGGACCTTCACAAAGGGAGTTGAAATCTTTATTCAATACTAAAACAGATTCCAATGAAAATGAAATCCCGACGAAAGCAATATCGCCTACACTACCTACTGCTGACTACTGAGCCAATCTAGTATATAAAAAAGCACGTACAGACTAGGGACTAGATTTACAGGCGTTATGGTCTAGCAATTCTCGTGCGGATATTGTGTAATATCTTTTTTATGTATATTAGTTTTTGCTTGCATTTTATTTTCATATATTAACTTACAACGTGCAATTAGCACTCATAGAAAAAGAAATTATTTGACTTTTAAAAAAATCAATATACAACTGATTCTGGTAAAAAATATAAAAAATGTAGGTTCAACATGTTATATTCTTTAATTGATATGCAAGATGAACTTTACAAAAATTTAAAATCACTTTCTGAACTATAATAAAAGCACGGAGGTAAGGATGAAAACATGTAACAACATAGAATTTACATCGTCTAATAAGAATTCAAGGTACAGTTTCATTTAAATTATATGCAGGCAAAACCATAAAAACCACAGTTTATTATTTTCTGATGTAGAAAAATATTATATAAAAAATACACGTAATGTTAAGCTTAATTCCTTTACGCAATTTTTATTGAATGTATCAATAATACCTGCTCTGCCCTGATCTTTTTTATATTGGTAACACCTGCGCCGATGAAATACATCTATATTTCAGAGGTCCCCAGTGTACAATCCGATAAGTATTGAATATAGCCATTGAGGTTATTGCTTTGAAACCCATTAAAAATTTTCCCATTTCGCTGAATTGCGGGGCCGACCTTTTATAATTTTTTTACTTCTCTGTTTGTTACTTTGCAATAAAAAAATCTTATACTTCCTATTATTACTAAAATAATTTAAATTAGGATACTCATCGCTGGCTAGATTACTATTATATTTTAGTTAACCAATATATGTAGGTCTGCAAGACGAGCATTTGCATTAATCATATTAATATGAGCACGTTTTATTATTACGAGTAGAAATAAATGGCTTTAGTTATTCCGTAATAAAGGTGTGAAAATAGAAATATTTTTTTTATAAAATAATAAAAAAATTTTTTTTAAGAACATTGAACAAATTGTACCTACATCTTCAATATATGTATATAAAAAAAACTTTAATAAAAATTCGATTAATTTTATAATTTACTATTTTTTTATTTAATAATATATAAATTCATCAGTACCACACACGAACTCTATAGCCAGATGATTGGAACAAAAGCGCTCTTATGACTATGGCGGTGAGGTAACACATCGGGATGGTCCACTTATCATTCAAAAGTACAAGTACATTCATAAGTTTAGAAGCAAACTCGACCTACTTGCACAAGAAACATCGCTGTCGCACCGAGTTTAAACAGTAATTAAATTTAGTACAGATTTGATTCATAATTTTTTCTCTTAACGTTAATAGTAAATAAAAATTGTATATTATATATATATATATATATATATATATATATATATATATAATTATATATATATATATAAAATATACATATGCATATGAATCTATAACAAGCTTGAGTTAATATTTTGTCATAACAATTTTGAAAGAAAAACAAATCTATCCCACGGGAACCGTATATTTTTCCGGGATAAAAAGTAGCCTATGTGTTATTCTGATGTATGAGCTATATTATTGTAAAGTTTCATTAAAATCCATTCAGTAGCTTTTGCGTGAAAGAGTAACAAACATCCATCCATCTACACATCCATACATTCTCAGTCTTTCGTATTTATAATATTAGTATAGATATGACAAATTATATTATAGGTGATCTACCAGGTGTTTTAGCAATATGCAAAGCAAATGTTTATTTGATAAAAGCTCTTATTCGGAGGGGCCAAATACGAAAAGTTCCACAATGAAATACCAAATAGCAAAGAACGATTTATCACGTCCGTTTTAAATTTGCCGGATTTTTCAGTTCTAACTGTCCGTGTAATAAATGGACGGTGTCTTCTCAGCCATGGAGTGTTAGAGGACGATGGAACCTCCCACTCGTCACTTAGCCCATTTATCTCACGAACGGTCCATCCGTCTGTCACTGTCAGTAATCTAATAGGACACGCTAGCTTTTTGTACCCATAATAGTGGCACTCAGAAATACGTCTTAAAATGACCGTTAATACGTCAGAATAAAGAAGCCCTTTTAAGGGACAAGTTCAACATTCCTTAGATAAAAGGACATAAGATACAAACGGGAAATCAGCCGGGTTATTCATAAACGAACATGGTCACAATCAGTGACCCTATGTGGAAAACTAATCATCGCCAAGTATATGGAATGATTAGATTTATGGTAGTACTGTCGTCATTGTTACGATAAAAACACGTGATATATTGAAATCTTATATATGGCTAATTACATTGTTTAAAGAACACAACGTAATTAGGAAAATAAGATTTTCATTACAGATTGATCATAATAAATTAATGTGGAAATATTATAGAGAACTAGCATTGCCCGCGGCTTCGCCCGCGTTCATATGACCAAAAACTAAAATCTATGGTTTTACATATTAGTATACTCTTACAATGCAGTTTTTGTATTTTTTCTCGGAAATGAGACATTTTCCCGCGGTAAAAATTTCCTATATGTTGACCCGGATAATCAGCTATCACCATACCAAATTTCATCAAATTCCCTCCACTGGCTTTTCTGTGATGCGATAACAGACAGACAGACAAAAATTCTAAAAAGTATGGATTCGGCCTCTGTATCGATAATAATGTTTATTTCAATAAGATTTTCAAAAAAATATTTAATGTACAGATTCGGATTAGTTACAATTTTATTATATGTATAGATAAACCTATAAAGTTTTCGTAACATATCTATAAGAAAAGAAAAAAAATTTAATAATAAAATAAAAATTTGAGACTTAATTTGATCTTTTTAAAATGTAAATATTACATATTTTAACCCTATAAACCGCAGAGGATGTTTTTTAAATTCAAATTGTCACCTATTTAAACAATAGAATCCATCAAAAATATACATATTTACTTAAAAACATCTGCAGCTAAATCCATAGACGCCTTAGATAAATTCATTTCTTTTTTTGTGCCTCAGATAGGGATGCAGATAAGCAGACAATGGAAGTATAATATATGCAGTTAGTCATTTCCGACAAGGGCCAGACGAGGCAATTCGTCCAGTACTCAGGAGTTCAGGACATAATGTGTTATTTTGTATTCTTGTCACAATTCATCTTTTAATATGTAAATTTCTATACATTTTAATTATTCAAATTGAATGTTAACTAAAAACTCAAGGTTTAGAGCTTAAAATGTTAATAACTTACCGCATTTTTCTCGACGTGCGTACTTCGCCCCTGCCTCGTCGGTGCGGCGGCGCTCGTCGACAGCAACATGAGCACGAGTCCTATCACGGCAACCACTCGCACGTGCACTCCCATTGTCCTCCCGATGGCATCCGTACACTCTTCTGTATCCCACACACATTTAAATTTTAAATTAGCGGCTCGCCTTGCACCACCATATCCGTCGACCCGTACCCTCCTTCTAATCGATCCCTTTACGTATTCGTCTTCGTTCTTATGCAACCCGCACTTTAAGGAACACCGGGTTTCGATTTGGCATCCATATTTTATATTACACGTTATTCTATGAACTAAGTCAGTCGAATCGTTACTTTCTACATCAGTGGAATGATAGTCGCTCTCGATTTTGCTGTCGATCTTTAATGTGGAATATTGTATATTCGGTTTCGTATCGCTTATTTGAACAAATCGTTTTTGGACCCCCATTGTTTAAGTTTATCTATTTTTGTTTGTATGTGCTTTATCATACTACATTACTTCGGTAATTTTTCGAAATGGGGAAGATCACCGATAATCTCAGCATGCTAGTGCAGATACTAATGGTAAAGAGCGCTCATCCAGTGCTACAGCGCAGAGCACTTTATCGGCATGTTTCCTGTTACCGTGTTCCAGATTAATTTCTCTGTGGACGGGATGCTGCGTTATCGAGCTACGTGGGCGGCACGCCTGTTTGTTTTACACTTATAATATTCTTGTATGCACAAGATATCGAAGCGATTTTCTGCAACAAAAAGATAACTTATGATGAATGTAATCTGATAAGAAAAAAAACAAAGAGTTCACTTGCGGGTGTTACTAATACTGCATAGTGACTACACTCATGGTCTAATTTAATCACACAATAAAACACCCACTATACATCTTCACGCCAAATATCTTACGAGATAATATAATATTTATATCAATAGAAATACAATAGTATTACCGTACACTTACTAGTCGCGTAATTTCGTGAATAATTCACGAAAGTGTTATTTTGTTGGAAAATTACTTCATTAGAACCAATGGCCTAATAGGCGATTAAATACTATAAAATAGACTTTGAGAATAATTTATATTAGAGATATGTTTATACTTTATATGTATCTATAATTTAATAACATGCTATCCTGTTTAATTATAGGTTAATATCCTTGCTAACCTATATCCAGATGGATGAGAACAGGGCTTCGTTGATAAAAAAAATATGATGTAAAATACTGAGAAGAGCTTGATAATATAAAAGTTATAAACAAAGCTAGTCAGATAACACTCACTTGAAGGGCATCCTTACATAAATCTTCATTTGTAATAGCCTACTATAATATATTTCAAAGTGATATTATGCATCCTCGTAACATTGCAATAAATAATAAGCTAAATGTAAGTACTATATACATTTTGCTATTTACATTTGATATATCGCTTGATATGAATTATGTTATTTGTATAATTCATAATAGTATTTAACTATTTATACATACGAATGCTTATTATTTGAAATTGACGAGTTTTTAACTGAGGGTTATGTTGATTTTGATTAACTTTTGTGTTTTGATTAAGATAGACGGTGTCCTGTCCAAACTTCGGTTTATGATTATTGAGTCCATTCATAAATCCTCTAGAAAGAGATCACTCAGTTTTCCCGAATTTTACAATTTTCTGAGCTACTTTTCCATCCTTTTTCCTTAAAACCTCATTTTGGCTATTACAAAAAACTTTAAATTGCCAAATCCGTTCAGCCATTCTCAAGTGCCAAACACCAACGGACATCATATCGTTCTTATTTACATAATATGTAGTTAACAATAACAATGGTATAGCTTATTTGTACTCGTTGAAAACCCTTCGCAGCTTTTATAATAACGAAGAATGTTAACTAACAAGTTGAACGTCTGTACCGCATATAAATACAAATAAATAAATTTAATAGATTCCCTTAAAGATAATCCATAGCTATATAAACACTAGTTGACAAGCTTGATTGGTAAAACTACAGTTAATTCTGCCTTATTTACTCGTCGCCGACGGCGAATGCTCTTTAATTTCTCGCTAGCTTTTTGTATACAACTCTGTTTACTTGTATTTTGATACATGTCTTTGACCTATAACTTATAGACCTTATCTATGCCCTCATATTATCTACATATAGAGTTTCGGAGGCAGAGGGTATAACCTAACTCCTATCGGGAGGAATATACCTATACCTTTGAACTCGGCCCGGAAAAAAATACTTATACCTATTAGCAAAAATATTTACCCTGTGCGAGAATTAAATCTACAACATTCTAAATGGTAGACATCGCAAGTCAGACTCTTGTACATAATACGATTAACCTTTCACCGTGTAATTAATTTGACCATGAGTAATTCATATTTTTGCAATATTTTTAAAGGTCGGGTTCAAAAATCAATAACATGTACCTAAGCGTGAAATTCTTTAAATATTGTGTTTTATTTTATTAGTATCTTTTATTATTATTAAAACGTTATAAAAATTATAAAAAAATTCTATAACAAAAAGACCTTACTAATATTATAAATGCGAAAGTTTATGAAACGAAACGAATTTGAATGAAATTCAAAATAGACTTTAGAGCTTATATTCTGAATTATGCTTAAGCTACTTTTTCGACGTACCCGCCACACTAGCAAAAACGAGTTTGGAATTAAAACATGATTTTGTTTTGGATTTGTTATTAGAAATGAGTGTATTAGTTCAATTCCTGTTAAAATTTGGATTAAATATTTGTAGTTGCTACCTGTATTATATTTTGATTTTAAGTGTTTTTTTTTGTAAATATATAAAGTTACTAGCGGCTCACCCTTGCTTCGCTCGGGTACGTCGCTAGGTACGTTTTAAATAGATATAACTAGATATTAGCCAGCGTTAGCCATATATATATTTTTTCGTTTTTCTGATGTTTTAATACGTATTATCCTATTCCGGACTAAGAGAAATCCAAAAATTCATATATCATAAAAATTGGTCCAGCCGTTCTTGAGTTTTATGTCACGTCACACAGGAACGCAGTCAAACGGGATAAAAAGTACCCTATGTCCGTCTTTGGTTCTAAGCTACCTCCCCCTATCCTATGTCCGTCTTCTGGTTAGCTATCTCCCCACCAATTTTCAGCTAAATCGGTTCAGCCGTTCTTGAGTTATGAATAGTGTAACTAACACGACTTTCTTTTATAAATATAGATATATATGATCATCATCATCAAAACTAAAAATAAAACAGATAGAAAAATCCCATAATAATTAATAAAAATTGCCTTATTAACATTCAAGGTTTTTTGTTTGCCTGTTTGTACATGCACTACTGCACAATGTCTCGAGAGAGAGACGAGACTAAATTGGAGTTGGATTGATCTTTTCCTTGTACAGCAAATAAAACTACTGATAATCAAACTATCGTTACAATTGAATAAGTCTATTCAAAGATTTTGGCTTATATATTTTACACGTTCTTATATAGAGTAGAAACATTGATCTAAATGCTCTTGCAGAGGAAAAGCTATACATAAATATATATGTTTATTTACCTTAATAGAAGAGGTTATAATATCCATAAATTCAGTACAATCATAAAGCACCGTTATTTTAAGTGTTGACATTGATGTCAATCCACTCAATTTATTACAGTTAAATTATACGAGCCTATTGATTTTTATTTGCAGAATGCTTATAGAATGTCATTTCCTAGTCACATTTATCACACTTTAATAAACGACTGAATTAAACGAGTGTTGCTTGCAATTGGCGCTAATAATGTGCTTTTTTGTTTACACCTATTCTATTTATAGTTCAAAGCTCTATTGAGTACAAAAAAAATGAATTCAAAAAAAATTTCTTTTAAATCAATATTAATATTATGTAAGAAATACACAAAGGACACAGAGAATATATTATTTCTACAAAACTTTTAGATACTTAAAGAACTAGCGATCCTCCGCTTTAGCGTATTGAGAAAATCACCGAGCGGTGATAATAAATTATGTTCCAGTATCACCTGCAGTTGTTGCTGCTAACAATTTTCAATATACTAATGTCCAAATAACGTATACTAAAAATAATTTTATAGAAGGGATTAAAAATGTAGAAACGAACAAAAAGCTTGACAAACCTATCATTAAAAATATTTCTAAAACATAATATTTAACAATTTGTTTTACTTTCTTCTTTAGTATACGAGTAAAATATATAAGCAACATGGTATTATTTATACATAATTAATAAAATTGTAACTAAGCTAAATCTGTACATTAAATATTTTTGGAAAATTTTATTAAAATAGACATTATTATCGATACAGAGGTCGAATTTATAGTTAATAGAATTATTGTCTGTTTATGTCTGTCTGTGACCGCATCACGGAGAACCCACTAGAGAGATTTTGATGAAATTTGGTATGATGATAGCTGGTTATCCTGGTCAACATATCGGATACATTTTACTGCGGGAAAATATCTCATCTCTGAGAAATCTATACTAAACGTTAAAATGTAAGTAGGGACGAGCCTGAGCGGAGTAAGGGTGAGTCGCTAGTTTTTATATAAATATGTTTATGAATTTTTAAATGTTCCAGAAAATAAACAAACTTATTTTAGTTTGCAGATAATCACATATTTAGCACATTAAACATAATTTAGTCCTAGGTTTTATTATATCACCATTGTATGTTAGTAAGCCTAAGGATAGTAAAAAAAAATCTTTAACAAAAAGATTCTAAAAACATTCATCTCTCAAAAGGGAATAATAATTAGATTTACCTAATAAGTAATAATATAATAATACAAATTATCTAGCTTTCTTTCTTTAAATTTTCTAGTTTCATAAATATTTAAGTTATAGCCCAGAAAATAGTATCAATCGACATGGTATTTCTGTTAACATGCAATACGAATATAGGCAAAATTAGATAAATAATCCTGCAGTTGCAAGTGCTTGGTGTTATTTCGAAATAATCTAAAATAAATGTAGGAGTTGCAGTCGGCGGATCATGCTTGGCACAACGTGGAAGCAAGTATGAAATAAGTGTAACTATTTATAAACGAACGCCGATTCAATTAAAGCTTCAGTATTCAAGATTGGTAGAGATATTTATTGTTCAACAAAATATTTTAAAACAACGTTATTACTTATATATCTTTATATATATAATTCTTCTGTGAGTGTGTATGTCACTGAACTACTCTAAAACGACTGGACCGATTTTGATGAAATTTTTTGTGTGTGTTCAAGGGGATCTGGGAATGGTTTAGATTCACAATTTGAATAATAATTTTCATCAAAAAAATTATTAAAATAAGTTTGAAATTTTCAAATTAAAGACGTGTAGACAGGACAACGTCTGTCGGGTCCGCTAGTATATATATATATATATATATATATATATATATATATATATATATATATATATCGTTATATATATTATATAATAT